AGCAGGGTTGGGGGCACAGGTACAGTGCAGAGAGGCAAGGGGGGGCACCCATGGGGGCCAGGTTGGGGAGGCCCTGTCTGACCACCCATGGTTGTGTCCCATCCCCCCTGCCCCAGGGATATTTTACGGCTTCAAGGGGTTGCTGCTGCTGCTGGGCATCTTCCTGGCATACGAGACCAAGAGCGTGTCCACGGAGAAGATCAATGACCACCGAGCGGTGGGCATGGCCATCTACAACGTGGCGGTAAGCCGGGGTGGCTGTGCCCACCCCCCTCATCTTCATCCCCCCACATTCCATATGGTGACCCCCCCAAAACCGTCCCCTTCCTCCCCTGCAGGTCCTCTGCCTCATCACAGCGCCCGTCACCATGATCCTCAGCAGCCAACAGGACGCGGCCTTCGCCTTTGCCTCGTTGGCTGTCGTCTTCTCCTCCTACATCACCTTGGTCGTCCTCTTCGTCCCCAAGGTGCTGGTGGGGAAGGGTTGGTGGGGTCCGGGTGCTTCTTTTGGGGTTGGGAGGAACAGTTGTCCTACGTCCTCCCATGTAGGGTCAAGGTGTCGCCTCTGTAGATGTGGAGGTTTCTTCTCCAGTAGGGTCATGAAGTTGGAGATGACAGTCGGCAGAGGGGACAGTTGGGTGCGGGTGTTGCCTTGGGGGGGGGCGTGGGACACAGCTTTGACAAGCGGGGACCATTGCAGATGCGCCGCCTCATCACCCGAGGCGAGTGGCAGTCGGAGCAGCAGGACACCATGAAGACGGGCTCGTCCACCAACAACAACGAGGAGGAAAAATCCCGGCTGTTGGAGAAGGAGAACCGGGAGCTGGAGAAAATCATCGCCGAGGTGGGTGGGGGAACCCCAAACCAGGGTGAACTACACCCAGAATTGGGGGTGTAGCTTTTCGGGGTCGTAGCTGCAAGGTGTTGCGACCTGCGCCAAGAAGGGGAGATCCTCTCTGAGGTGCCAACGCCTCAAGGGGGGGTGACGCCAACGCCTCAATGGGGGGGGGTGGGGTGACGCCAA